AGGCATCCACAAGAGGCTGGAACACAGGACACTGAACAAACCCTGCAAGTAACCCGCAGTGTTTTGAGGAGGCAGCTGGAGGACTGGACATCTAGAAGAAGGATAAACACGTGCATCGCTCTCCGGGTAACTGCTCTAATTCTGCTGCACTGATAGGAGGCTAAAAGTAATTTCTGAACCATGCGAGTTTGTAACCCATTTTAAGAGGAAACTGAAATAAGTGCAAAAAAACACTGAACTATAATTTCCCAGAGTTCAAGCACTGCTTAATAAGCAGTAAGGGGAAAGGTGCAGGGAAAATCTGGTTAGACAGCAAGGGACAGGCACAGCTCTTGCCCTTATGTGTATATATATATATATACATATACACATACACACACACACTATATATACATATATATAAATGAAGTTCCTTTACAACATTTACTTATCCCCCAAACAGAGGGAAAACCTATCACTGAGTACAACCAAAACAAAACCTGTACATGCATGGGCCAAAGAATTCCCCTGGTTACAGTTTGGTGACAAAATAATACAGCAGCACTAAAGCAAGACAGCCTAAAAAGTATGTGCAACATGGCCTAGGGTCTCAGGTTGATTGTTAGACCAAAGAACCCAGTAACGACCAAGGTCTCTAGCTGATCACCACTGCATTCAGGGAAGCAGGGCTCTGCAATTAAAATCGGAATGGAAACCACTCTCCCAACTCCTGTGACAAATTTGTCTCCTATACTGAGTAGGAACTTTAAATTTTGCCCAAGTGCTCAGGCTTATTGCTGTGTGTGGGTAAAGAGATTCCTCCTTCAGAGATATAAACTCTCATTTTATTAAAAATCATGAAAAAGGAGACATAAGTTTCTTTCTGTTCTTCTTTAAAGTATTCTTCTTGAATACTTTAAAAACATATTCAAAACATATTCCTAAAGCAAGCGCCATTCCCCTTCTCCCCCTTTATTTTTTGATGAGGGGCAGGGGGGACAGGCTGCTTAGAGAAAAAGGTAGGAAATGATGGAGGGGGGAAAAAAAGAAAGAAAAGCCAGTTGTGGCTTGACAGTTGAAAGTATTTAATAAAACATTTTTGATTGAGGAATGAAGAGAAATATATATTTCTCCTCTTGATTAAAGTAGGAAGCACTCAAAGATAAGTTCTAAACAGTTCATACAACAGTTACAAGAAACACAGATTCGGAAGTTATTCTACCGATCATTAAGTATTTTGACAGGAAACCCACAAGACAAAACATGCTTTTTCCGTCTTAAATGGCACTACTGTGCTATACTGCTGAGACAGGTTCCAGGTTGCCATTTCAACAGTTTCACTACATCTTTTCTTGGAGTTACTCTTTTTATATGCATATTAAGATGCATATAAACCTTAAGATGAAGGTTAAAGAGTATTTAAATTACACAACTGATATATCCCTTTGATTTCGCTTTGTGTGGAAATAGAGCTTTGCCACCTTCCGTTATAGTAAGTCTTCACTGTCATCTTCCTAGACGACTGAATAATCTTGCAGACCTTGTGAGACAAATTTCTCTAGGTCTTGGCTTTCACACCAAATGCAGCCAGACTAAACTGATAAAGCAATTGTTTCTTAATCTCTTTCATGGCAGAGAATTAGTTCCTCTCAATTCCAAAGTAAATACAGCATGCTTTGTGTTTGATGATTAAGTACCTGTAGATTTAACAGTTCTTCCCAGTACAACAGAGGAGGGATTTAGTATGAGTATTGAACATGAGAGAAGTTTATACAGGCTGGAGAGATTTGTTTCGGTAAGCAAGTATTTCTGTATACTATTCAAGAGATTATACTTGGTGCCATTTATTTTCAGAAAACTTTGAACATGAGTAAGCAATAGAAATCTATCCCACAGGTTTTTATACCCGCTTCTCTTTCAGATTAGAGCTGCTCTTTTATCAGAATGAAATTAGCATGCATGTCAGTCAAATGGAAAAATATAACAACTTTTTCTGGTTCTTTCTCAATTCTGTTTTGGATTTGGGTTATGGCTTTTTTTTTAAGACTATTTCTGAGTAACTTAAAGTAAACAATCGTTAGACCTTTTAAATTTTAATGTTTATAGATATATGCAAAATATTCAATACTTCAAACATTAAGACTAAAGAAGCTGTTTATGACAAAACACAGCTCACTGCATGGGTCCTGTACTTTAAAGAAATTCCCTCCTCCTCCAAAGCATAAAAAAAAGGAAAAATGAACTTCTAGCATTTTACTCAAGGGAGGGCAGGGAAAGTAGAATGACATAGAAAGCTCCCTCATTGACTTAGAGCATCGTTTTTTACTCATCAAAAAGTAATATATATTCCATTTCTCTAGTTTTATTCTTTCTGCAATCTCTTTTCTCCTCCTCATATCCCTTTTCCATTCCCATTTTCCCTGCTCTGTCTGGCATATATTCCTATTCATTTAATAATAAAAGTTATGCAGCAGTGTATCTCCTCAATGTGCCCTTAGCATTGACCAAATAGACCTGCAGAAGTTGTTTCTCCAGCTCTCAAAAAATGCTTAACATAGCCAAGTGCTATCTAGAAAGCAACTTCCTTCATTTACAAATCTTTCCAAAACGTTCAATGCCATAACTGGTTTCTTTCCCAAGCAGAACAACTTCCTTCTGCTTGGCATACAGAAAGGGTCATAATTGTATTCAATTTATTTCCTTGCTAGAGAAGCTGGGACCACACATTTGCTTGATTATACGCAAGTATAAAACATAATAAAGTATGAAATGTCACCGTATTGTTATTGTATAATAAAACTGGAAGATCATCTGAAACAGAATTTATTCGAATATAGATTAAAAGACTAAGGAAGCAACCCAAACAGGAAACTGCAATGATTTGACAAATTAAAATGCATTTGTTATAATAATTAAATCACAATTCAAATAAAGCTATCTGAAATCAAAGCTGTTCCAAATAAAAAATAAATTAAGAGCAACTCATTCTATTAAGTAACATAAGTGTACAAGTCACTTATTACACTGGTCACTCAAAGTTTAATTGAAAATGTGAGTTACTGTACTAGAGTCTCCATTAAACAGTTGACCTATGCTATGAAACATTACTTTTGCAGGAGTGACCTTCTTAAACAGCTACAGTGCCCATAAGCTATGAAACTGTCACACTCAAGAATATAGATGATGAGCGCAAAAAGAAAAATCTGTTTTTAGCAGCTTGCTGAACACCATGGCATTCTCATCACAGGTGTAAAAGATACCCACAATGTAAGCCTATCTGGTTAATGGTAATTTAAAAAGAGGAAGAGAAAGAGGAAAAACAATAAATTGAACTCAAAGGCAGAGAAGCTTTAACAAACAACAGATCCGAGGCCAGAACTATTAAGTCACACACTGAGGAGCCGCTGAAGGAGCCACCAAGCATAACCTTCAAGAGGTTAAACCAGAACTTTGTAGCTGATAAGATGAAATAACTAGATTACCATGGGTTTCAAAGGGGAAAAGGCAAATATCATGAAATAAGGGCATGTGTAGGAATGTGTAAAATTTGTAAGAGAAATGCTTTAAGGAGATTGTGGTGTTATATGAAACTTAGGGGATATCAAATTTATTACGGAAAGGGTCAAAGGCAGGCAAAGGTGGTTCAGGGAGAACAAGCATGGGGAATGGCCGAGAGCGCCACATGTAAGCTGGCTGCCTGCCAGTATGTGTTTATGTCTGAACACTGAACCCTTAGTCCATCATATTGAGCCTTACTCCTATTTATTCTGAACACTGAACCCTCAGTCAGTCCTACCATCATATTGAGCCTTACTCCTATTTATTCTCTGCTTAGGATTGCTTTCTTCGCACTCATGTGCAAGATCTACCAGCTAAACGCATCTGGATCAGCGAATAGGAGAAGATCACGCCCTGGCAACACCCAAGGTTAGAGCTGACCACAGGGTAAGCCAGGATCAGGGCTGGGCACGGACTTGGGGGACCTGCATATGCTGGTATGTTTGCAAATCCAGAGTCAAGATCTGCATAGGCTTCCATCAGTGAAATTCAAGTCTGATAACTGGAGGGAAGAAACAGGATTTGGCCATCTGGAGCCTTAATGTTCTGTGAGTGTACTCTGGGTTTGTGTGGGCACTATGTGTGCATTATGTGGGTAAAGGCATTTTTTGCTCTTGGTGTTAATCTGTGTAGCTGCGATGTTTGCATCATGTACGTTTGCATTAGCATCTTTGAAAGATATGCTCAGCCACGCTGGAAGTGAGGGACAGCACCTTTCTTGGAACAGGCTGAAGGAAACGTGCCCCCCCACCCCCACCACCAGATTTGTATAGTCTTCATATAAAGGAGGTAGAATTATTCACTATTTTAAGAGAAAAACAGTTTGCTGCTTCCCAAATAAACCACTGAAATATTCAGCACATGAAATAAATGTCACCCCCCCACACACAGCACAACAGAGAACAGAAAGTAAACAATATTAATCATTATTTGGCATTAGCATCCTGTTTGACACATACCATATCTGTATTACCCAATTACTTGTGCCCAGGATAGGTCTCTACGCACGCAGCTCGGAACAGACTCCATAGATACCATTAAGTTCTTTAGTCTCTCTAAGAGGACGCCACAGCCTGCTCTAAGTGGCCTCTGCTCTGTATTAATTGCTGATTCATATCTAGAAACTATTCAATTTCTAGAGCCAAACTCTAAAGTTCAATTTCAAAAGTCAGTTGGCTTGGGCCACCACCATTTCTTCATCTCACCTATTTTACAAACACACATGCACTTATAAAATATACATATGTGTGTACATACATACATATAAGTAGCCATAGATGAAAAGAATAACAAAATATAAATATTATTTAGTCAGTCTTGAATTTAAGTATTTATAAATTGAATGAAGCTAATTCTGCAAATGCCACACTATTTGCCAAATTGAAGCAGTCACTGTGCAGTTTTAATAAGTCTGGTAAGAAATAATTATCACAAAAACACTTCAAAACATATTTGCTACTTACTTCGAATAGTCAAAAAGTCTGCTGTCCCAGAGCTGATGGTTTCCTCTTGGACCAGAATGGAAGAAACAAGAATCTGTACCATCAAATTTATTGAGACCATCTTCAGAGTTTTTTGAGGCATGGCTGTGCACAACATCCAGCAGAACAGTGATGCCCATCGAGTGAGCAACGTCGATCAGTTCCTTCAGATCATCCGGAGTTCCATAACGGCTGCCAGCGTGAAAGTGGATCGTAGTGAGTAGCACAATGAGAACGTTGATTAACAATTAATACATTGACTGTGTTATTGTAACCATACATTGTATACGAAGTCTGTTTTTTTTTTTTTTCTTTTCCCCCTCATCCCTTAAGTAGTAGTTATTCATTACAAGAACAAAAAAAATGAACACAAAAAGCAAGATTTTACTCTTCCTTGCTAGTCAGCTGAGGGAAGCTAAAACATCTAATGCAATTTAGAACATTTATCTGCTGCTTTCCTGCTTATTTGTTTTAGGTACTATATTATTTTCAAGCTCCCTTTTAAATAAGAATTTGTCTCTAGTCTGAAACACGTATTTTTCCTTCAACTATCTAAGCCAGCCAAACTTTATCTACTTAAATTTACCCTTTTTTCACTTGAGCTTCAACACAACGAAACAAACAAAAAACCCACAACTTTTAGGTTTGTCATATTTTTCTCAACAATTCCCTTAATCTACTTTCTATCAATTTTTACCCTAGGTCTCAAACGAAATGCAAGCTAAGTGCTAAGTGCTTTACATGAGGGGGAAAAAATATTTCTTACAGAACATACATGCCATGAGTTTATTTCAAATAAATCTATCATGCACAATCAGCATACAAGTTCTCTGTATTACTATCACAAATTCCACAGCACCAAAATCCATGCATCAAGAAAGCTGAAGCTGGACAGGTTGACATACACTATGACTGATGTTACCTGTAAACTTGTTCATATCATATATCAAATGTTTTCACAAAACAGCTGCTAATTATGTCAGAATGACTTCAGATTTACTGAGTGTTACAGTAGCACCTAAGCCAGTGCTTTCTCTTTCCATTAAACACTTGAAGTTTAAACATATTCAGTGGATGGTGGGTGAGGCAGAAGAATATAGAAGTAGTAAGAGTATCTAAACGTACCTGGATGCAGCAAAGAAGCTTGTGACTTGATAGCCAAAACTGGCATAGTATGCATGCTCCATAATAGCCATCAGCTGAACACAGTTATATCCTATATAAAAATAGAAATAAAATAAGCATGCAAACATATATATCCTGGCCTTAAGGATAGTTAAGCCTCTCTCCAAAAGCAGTTCTATATCATAGTTTAGAGTTCTATAGCTTTCCATTAAAAACAGGAAGGTCAACTTGTCAAGTGATCTACATATAACTAGCTGGATTGAATTGAAGCTCTCAGTTCTAACATGCAACAAATGAGATGCAAATATAATCTTAATTTGACTTCAGAATATTAACTATGACAATCTGCATGTCCTGAACTTCAGCTTCATTTTTGATATTTGCAGTGTTGAAAATAAAGAAAAAAAAATAAAAAGAAAACAAACAACAGAGAGAGAGAGAGAGAGGCTGATTGCATGTATTATAGCATATGGTTTATGGAGTTTAATTTGTTTAAATTGTTTTCATTTTACCAAAGAACCAAGGCAACACAGGAGAATAGGATAGGAGACTTTTTTGTCTCTTGTATGACCCAAAATATTTTGGTGCAATATTAAGGCAGGGAAATCTAAAGGGAAAACATACTAATGAGGAAACCAGAGTATTTAACCACATATCTTAACTAAGCCATCTTTAATGCCAGTGAATAAATACCCCACCTAACTAGAAAAATTATTATCAGAAAAAGGTAAAAAAAGGTTTAATCTACAGCCTGTTGAGACTCCCTCCTCATACCACTTCTCTTTATTTTCTTAACCCAGACCTTCACATTATTTGGCAGTGTAAACACGAGATTGTTTCTTTTTAATTGCACAGCCACAGAAGTGTTATTATTTGAAGGCAGTTGGCATGAACTCAACAATTTGTCAGATTCATTGCTGCTTCATAATTCAGGCTCATTGAGCTTATTCTTATTTACAGCACTTTTGAAATAAACAGTATAAATAGCATCAAATTAATCTCATTCTATTTGCTAGTTGTTTATCTTGCTACTTGTCATGCACATATTTCTACAAACTATTAATAACTTAGCATTCTTAAATGCTGATGTCTTTAGGCTTGTCCTCATATTAAGACATTTCAAAACTAAAAGAATCAAGCAGCCCTTAAGAAAATACATTAAATTTAAAAAAGAAAATTTAACTCCCAGAGCTTTAAGAACATTATCTTCCATGTTCTATATGTCTAAACTATCGCTATTGCTTTTATTTTGTGACACTTTTCTTCCCCAAAGAAAAAAAACTCTGCTGGTAAAGCAGAAAGCTTTCTTAATTATGTTAAGCATAGCCTCCTGGAAAGACAGAAATTCTTTTCCAGTAGGAAGAGAGACAACTACATAATGTGATATCCCATTCTTTTTGCTGTTTTTAAAGGCTTCCAAATGTGCAAACTCATCCATTCTGCCTCCCAGCTCAGCTTTACTGAGAGGCAAAAGCCACGTTCACAAGAACATGTGAACTCCTTCTTCAGGCACTCTTGTGAAGGAAGGCAAACAGCAGATATACATAGCCAGTATTCCACAGAGATATCAACAAGAGATGTCACAAGTATTTTACATTTAATGGCAACAAAATATACTTCACCACAAAGCAGAAAAAGCTAGCAAGTGTTAGCATCATGTTATAGAAACAAGTGCAATGATATTACAGAAAAAAATAATCATTAAACAGAAATTGAGATGAACAGTTTGCTATGTTTCTTGAGATAATCACACCAGCTGTTTCATATAGCCCCCTCAACCTACCAGAATTTCTTTACTAAAACAGAATTGCTCATGCTTAAAGTTCACCATATTCTGATATGTACAGTAACTGTTAAGAGATAATTTAGCACATTCGGTAAACAAAAAGGGCAGTCACTTCTGTCTTGATATTCGCCTTCTCTTAACAGCCAGATGTGGAAACAATTAAGAACACATTATTTTCCTATGACTATCACCCAAATAATGGTCCTTTTTACAAGTGAAAAATAAACCATGCTGAAAGCAATTTGTCCTACAATATTTATCTAGGCTTTGGAATAACAGTTTAATTAGGAAAAATAAAATCTGTAGAATCAAATTTGATTTCTATATTCTACTTCAGTCCATCTTTCTCTTTCATGGATTTCATTGTTTTATAGCTTTTGGTGCCCTAAAACAAAAAAAACCAAAAAGGTAATTCTATAGTACATAGTCTGAAAACACAAACCCAAAGCGACAGGCACTTGATAATTATCTTTTTCTAATAGCAACAGAGATGCACTAAAATTTTATCTCTTCGTCATTACTTACCGAGATCCTTTATTCTAGGTAGTACATTGTACGTGAAGTTTTTATAAGAAGCTATTTTCCCTTCCGGAGAAGCAATCCCCACATGAGATTCATAGATTCTTAGGCTTTTCAGTCTCTTGGGGGAACGGTGTCTGCGCTATAATAAAACAGTTGTTATTAGAATACAATGGAAGTGTTGTCACTATCACATAGTGCACACAAATAAGAGGAATATTGAAACTATGCATCTCCCCTCTCATTTTTCTCTTCTTCCTTCCGAAAGGTCACAAACATTGCAGAAGTAACTAGGCATTGAATACTACTAAGGCAAAGATGTATTATATTTGTCTTCATGTTCTTTCTAAAGAAGAAATTGGACACTCTTGATTTGACATTCTTTTGTGGCCTAGTTAAGTACACTGACGTGTAAATTTATGACAGTCAGTGTAGTACAAACTGCTTTTAGAATACTGTGAAGTCTGTTTGGAAAAAAAATATTTTTAGCAATTTTTTTTTTCATTTATTTAAAAATATTTAAGACTACAGAGAATTGAACTTGATGGGAAAAGTCTCTTTCTTTAAAATAAGTAGAGTGTTTACAGCTTAAGATTATCTTTATTAAAGAAAAGTCCTGTCTCAAGAAACTAGCAAAAACTGCCATTTTCTCCCACGGTCTTTTTGATAGCTCCCTCTCCCCAATTAAAATAATAATAATAAGCAAAGAGTTGGAAAGTTAGAACAGAACTAGTTAAAATAATAAAAACAATGATTTAAAGGGTGCAATTATTATCAGAAACTAAAATCAAAAAAAAAATAGAGTGAAAAACAAGACATTCTCATTAAGATTTGCTGAATGTTGAACCTGAATTTTACTTCCTGTGCAATTCCCATTCCCAAACAGATTAGTTGCTTTTCATGGCACAAAGTTGAGTAAAATCATGTCTGCTCCCTAGATATTCTGGTTTCCTTTTTCTTCTAGGTCATACAGATCACTGGATTTCCAGCTGTCCATCAACTTCCTACATCGGATCTAGGCACCACAGAGCATCATAAAAATTGAATTCATATGTCCTAATGCCCTTAAGTAACACATTAGTATCACATTATTGTAGATTACGGGTTTTTTTGTTGTTAAGATTAACCCTTTTCTATCAAGCAGACATGTTTCCTACTTAGAGGCAGTTCCTAAAGATCTTAACTCACATCAGTGGCTGCAGCATTTCTGATATAGACTGCATTACATTTCTGTGTTTTCACTAGAAATTTATGAGGTCCAAGAATATGCCATAACATCAGACTTCCCCCCACCCAGACTGTTCTTATGTATAACACAAGGACTTCTTCCTTTCTAGGAAAAAAAAAAAAAAAAAAAAAAGCTTCTTTCTGGGGACTTGCTCATTTCATATGGCATTGACTTACTACTCAAGTAACTACTCAAGTACTGAACTTTTTATTTGCAACTAATTCATTTTAATATCCAACTCTGACAAACAGTTTCTCCTCTGAACCAGGAACAGCCAATCAGTCACTTTCACCAAAAAGGAACGGTTATTGAGCTGGCGTAGGATATGGGAAGTTAACACTTCAGTAATTATCTGTTTAACATCTATCACATAAGAATGAATAAAAATAACTCCAACATGCCTAATATCACATAGTATCTAATGTCACATGTTTCTGTCAGAGCCTTTAACATACATTCTTCATTTCTCAGGTAGTTATTACTGGACTCCGTTTTTTTTGTGGAATGCTTTTAGTTTATTTACCAAGCAGCGATACCTCATTCCAAATAGCATGAAGTGACACAGCATACACACCATTATACAGCTTTTGAAAATATTTAAGCCTTACTATATATGGCAGTGGTGGATTCCAGTGTACCCAATCATAATTCACTTGTCCTTCATAACGGACCACATATCTTGCCCAAGGTGAAATACGATAGAGGAGTTCACCATTTTGAGCACGGATCACCACCTGTAAAATACGAAAACTGTAATACATCACATATAATTCATGTAATACCCACTGTATAAACCATAGAGAATGAACTGTCACGTATATATATATTTTTTTTAAATACAAAAACAGAATACAAGTCAGGACAAGAAAGAATAACCCTGACCACAGGGAGGATTTGTAAAGTAATCACAAACAGGTCTATCAGACGTAGGAGTGATATTCAATAGCTAAAAGAAGCTAAAAGGTGAGGACATATATATGTTAGCATCATAAAAATAAGGTTAAAACAGGCTTCTCAAATGGATTACTGCCAGGTTCTCGTTTCCTCTGTCACTGCCATTCATGTCACTCCACATTCTTAAAGTTTAATGGACATACAGTATAATGCTACCAAGATGGGAAATATGATTTGTTTACTCAGCAAGCAGCATAGTAGGTCAATTTTAACATCTTAATTCCCTCTACAGTGCTCAGTGAGTTATGCCTGACACAGTATAGACCAGAATCACAGATTAAGTCAAGTACAAAAGCAGCTTCCAGGCCAAGAAGAAATGGAAGAATAAAAGCAAAATTGTTGGTTTTCTTCTACTGACTTGCAGTTTCTCTGAATGCCTCTACTATTCTAATGACAAAATAATGGAAAGTCTTAACAACAATTTTGCTTTCCCTATTTGGTGCCCTCGTTTTATAAGGGTAGATGAAAAGACAACCATCCTTTCTGATTTGCTGCAGAAGTTCATATTTCATTTTGCCAGAGTGGAGAAAAAAAAAAAAAAAAGAATAAACCTACAAGCTTTTAGAGCATTGGTATTTTACATAACAAAAGCAAAATTGAAACAATTAATTTTGCCAGTCTAGTTTTGCTAGATATTTTGGCTCCTAAACAGAAAGCTAAGACAGTAAAACAGAAAGCTTGTAAATTCAGAACACCAAAAACGCATAAGCAACTGAAGTTTTCCTCAACTTGGGGGGTTGAGGGAAGGGAGCGTTTTTAAGAATTAGAGATACCAATATAGCACCATATAGGCAGGGAAAATCCCAAATGTAGTTGTATTTTTTCTTCAAAGAAACAGCAAAAAGTAACAGTACCATACTCAGTTCCTCACTTTGCCTGACAGCCTGTGTGGAAGGAAACAGTTAATTGCCTTTTTTAATTATTTTTATTTTTATTTATTTTTTTTTTTTTTACCTGTAGCAAGTGTCTGATTAATTCCCTGTATCCTTATTTAAAGCACAGGAGAAATTACGATGAAAAACATGCATGCAATGTAGGCTTATGACAGTGGTAAGGAAATCATAAGTCAACAAAATGAAATTCCTATGTCCAGTTTGTATTATTAACAGCTCTACCAAGCTCAGCTTCACTGACAATCCAAGATCAGAAAGAGTAACCAAGACCTTACTAAGAATGCACCGAGAAGTAGTTACTGCAAACATTGGCAGAAGCTTTTTGCATGCAAACTATGATAGCAAAAACTGGCCATAAGGGCCTTTTAACAATGAAATAATTTGCAGAAAGACCTTTCTATTCAAGAGCATTAACACAACTTGCAAGCTACTCCTAAGTTAATAAAAACTATGCTTTCTGGTATCACACTTTTGATGATGCTATCACTTGTTTTATTAATTTGTCTCAATTTACACAGCAGAAAGAATCACTGTTTTTCATAATCAGATCTAGCCATTTATCTCAGCAGTCTTTTCTCCAGTATCTAGTACAGTTTATATTTCACAGGCTTCTTAAGAGGGGACAAATTTTATTTGTGAAAATTTTATACAGTTTGAACTTTTAAAAAACTGTGTATTTCTACAAAAGCCTAGATATAGAAACATTGTTTGATAAGACTTAACTCTAGTTTAACCTGGAGAGATACTGGAGGTTAAACAAAAAGTTTATAATAAAATACTGAAATGGTTATACCTGGTTGAATCTCACCGTATTACTAATAGTATAAACCCTACTATGCCCATTGTTTGCCATCATTTTTGAGCATCATAATGAGCTTTGCACTGTAGTATAGTCGAGAAGAATGCAGAACCTTTAAAATATTCCCTGGAGGAGCAGATGTACACAGCAGTTGCAAAAATACATCACCAGAACTGCCACCTATCACAGATAAGGGATCATGAATATACTCAAGCCAACAAAGTTGAATCCTCTTCTTCACTGGCTCGCTAGAGCAAAACCAACATAGCATCCCCAGCTATGTTAGGGTACTGTACTTGTGTACCAAAGACAATGAAAAGATGTCCTGGCAAGTTGAGGTTGAAGGAGTGATTAATTCAAAAGTATGAACTTTCAAATCTGAGTCAAGTCACCAGAAGGAATCAAGAAATATGACTGTAAAACAGCAAAAATATACATAGTCTAAAAATGACAGACTGCAGAAGTATGTTAAAACCAGATGCAGAGATGCAGTTCAGAAAGTATCCTAATTTTAGCAGTGTTGAGTCCTGACAAATCAGGACTTAAACCTCACAAGAACATTAGTATCAGAATTATAGGTCCCTTGTGTGGCCCTATGAGTGCTTAGCAAATTTATTGAATATGTATGATAAAACTAAGTATAGCATGCTTTTAGGTCTGTTTCGATAACATTTAACACTTTGTCAAAAGCAGTTTATTAGACTGTCTTATTAGAGTCTTTAAGTGTAGACTAGTGCCATGCAGCAAACGCTATAACACACTGGAGTAATTCAGAAGCTGAAATGAGTTTCATTTAATTTAATGACACTTCTGAGGCAGAACTACAGAGTCAGTTGCCTTAACTTTAGAAACCTCAAACATTTTGAAGACCCTCACACACTCCATTTCGTTGGCTTTAAAAAAATTACATGAGTCTTCTACATAGTTTGCAGCACTTATGCCAGCCTCTTGCAGATGTCTCAGGGCATCTAAAATGACACTAGATACCTACGTTCAGGGAACGCACAACCTACTGTGGCGTAGTGGAATATGCTGGCTTTTTTTTTTTTTTTTTTAATGAACAAACCATGTGTGTTTATTTCTTAAATCATGAAAATGAAAGAGCTTAAAGTTTTGCAATTCTAATACTTTAAACATTTGGTCACAAGAACCATTTAGACAAAATGCAAACCTACCTACAAAATAAAGCTCAAAACAGTTTTGCTATTGTTATGACAGGGAGAATTGTACAGTAATAGGCAAGAAAATACTGTACGTTTAGAGTGCTTTACTACTAAAGCACTACTACTATTTTAAAGACACAATCACATTCCAGAAAAAGATTAAATATAGTAAGCTTCAAAAAAATAAAGACACAATCACATTCTAGAAAGATTAAATATAGTAAGCTTCAAAAAGGGAAACACTTTAGATTTTACTTGCCCACTTCCACCGATGTTACCAGAAGTTCCTCAGCTCCCTTGGAGTTATTGATCAAGTTTTAACCTGCTGCATTTGTATATATTCAAAATTATATAATGTATGCAAGACTTGTGGCAAAAATTAAAAAATTACATCTGATATTTTGCAGTTCAAGATATTTGCTATACAGTAGTTTGTCGTACAATAAAAGTTGAAGAGAAGGAGGGAGGATGCAACTGACTTGGAGATATCCAGGCTAATAAGTTGTTTTACATTAATAGCTTTAAAATATTTGGAATTTTGTTTGTTTGTTTTGGAATATGCAGCTTTTTACATGAAATTAAATTGGCTATCAGACTAAAAGCAGTTAACATGATAGAGTGGACTTGCTTTAATACATAAATGTCAATGACTTATTTATTGTCTAGGCATAAATACCTCATCATTTCTATATTTCAACTTACACTATTAGCCTCATATTTATGTATTTATGAGACAAGTTGATCAGAATATCCAAGCCACAGCAGCTCAGGCATAAACACCCCCTCAACTTGGAAACATCAACTTGGTTTGAAAATAAGTTCAACCGAGAAAATAAACATGCCAGAATTAGATTTTTCAATGAATACTGTCTGGCAAGATTGGTTTGCTTATTGTAGCCTCTAAGTTATTTTTTTAACACTAAACAATTTATTAAAGTTCAAGATACTTCCTTACTTTTGTAACAGTGATTAGGGAAGAAAAAACTCATACACTAAGATATTGCCTTCTACAACTTGATACCTGTATGTTTCAGTCACACTCACTCATTGTCCCTTTCTTTTCTTTCATGCCTTTAGAACATGAAAAAAAATATTTCAGTCCCTCATCTTTCATTAAGCAATTCAGCCTGGAAAGCAAAGACAAACTAAAACTAAACATAATACAGCAAAGCTTTAAAAGGAAAACTCCAGTGAAAAGTTAATTTTGTAGTATGAGAGCTCTTCTTGCAAAATAGTTGAGCTTCCACAAAGCTGCTCTGTTCTGGGTTTCCAAACAGTTTTTAGAATAAGGCCAGTAATAAATGGACTAGTATAGGAGTTTATAGGTATAAGAAGGAACCCTACTTTGTTAGTTGCAGATATAGGAAGGATTAACCAAGTTGAGGATCTCCACTACTGTCTTGCAATTCTTGATACTGCAACATGACCAGCTCCCAAGCCCAAGGTAGGCAGGAAAGGGAGAAGACACCAGAAATCATTCAACACTTCAGCTCCACATGGCAAAGCACCAAAAAAGACTGCAAGGTCACTCTATCCACAGAGAGGAAAACAGCCAGCTACTAGCAGCAAAGCAATGACTGATCAACCACTGAAATATTCCCCTAATCAGAAGTATCTTCCCAAATGGATAAGTATCCAAATTGGTGTGAGAGGAGGGGCAAGAAAAAAAAAAAAAAAAAGAGAGAGACAGACAGAGAGAGCACGCACATGCTCCCCCTCATCAACTCTGGATCACTGTAAAAATGTCAGTCAAGACAAGGCAATTCTTTATTTTCTCTCCCAAGCACTTTCCAGCAAATAAATCTGATAGACACATGCATTTATATCAAATACCTTCCAAAAATTATCCACTAGTTATTGGAAACATAGTAACATTTCAAAGACAGTTATGTGTTTAAGAACAAAGTTATGGGTGGTTCAGAAGC